ACAAGTTCTTAATTTACACACTTAACCTTTTTTTGTTATTATAGTTAGGGGTTCGAACTATAAACCTAACCTACTTTCACCCACCCTCGTTTCTACACTTGGCCAAGTCGATTTACTTAATAAACCAGTTGCGTGGAACCCAAAGATTGAAGAAATTAGTTTATCTCAAAAATGATTGAAGAAGTTAAGTTAAAAAATAAAAAAAATAAAAAAGAGCTTTGGATCGGCCCAAACCAGGCAGCCAAGAACTTCTATTGGACTTTTTAATTTGTTGAATGGGCTACAAAGGTTATCTGGCAAAATTTAAACTTTGGGTGGGGGACCCAGATAACTCTCCTCAATGCTATTGATCCCAACAGATTTCATGGGCTTGGGTCAATGAGACCTATTTTCATCATTTTCAACGTCTTTTCAATTTTTATCCAAATAAAACGAAATGTGTTAGCAAATGTGAAATATTTTTATTATCAACAATTGTCGTTTATTTACTTGAAGAAAAAAAAATTTGTCGTCGTCTATTGGACGTAGCGAATTACTGTGGTTGTTAGACGTTGTTCCGTCCTCAACACACTGCGTTCGGGTTCAAACCATCCAAATAAACAAAATGGATTATCTAGCTAGTTGTGTGGTTGGTTAAAACTTAAATCAAATGGGAGAAGAGAGAGATAAGTCATATTCTTCTGTGAGGTTCGGTTATTCTATAACAACTATAGGCTTTAGGTATATTCTCCATTTCTCCCAAATGATTGGCAACTTTTCTTCCTAAACATTTCTCTTCCGGAAGCAACAAGCCTTTTGCAGGGCAGTGGATTTTAATTTAGACCTAATCCGCCACCGCAATGTTGAAGCATGTCTCACGTCGGAAACCTAACAACGTAAACACACAAAAACATCTCCGGCAGCTCCATCACTGTTTTACCAATTTCAAATTAATGCGTACCTCTTAACTTTGAACTATAGCATCTATTTTGCGTATTTTCTGAATTTGTACATAGTTTATTTCTTGTTGCATTGCATTGCAATTCATATCACGACGTTTTAGATTACTCTAATTACGAAGAAAACTATCCAACTCATATTTAAATGGAACTTGACTATCACACACCCTGTTCTAAATTAGTCTAATTCACGTATGCTTCTTAGTTTTTCAATACCGTTACGCCAATAAACATCAAATGACGTCCCCGTTAGCCTCCACCCGAACCAGACCAACATGATTTTGGAGCCTTTTATTTATTCGGTTCGACCTCAACTTGTTTATTGTCTCAAGCTCATAGCCAGGTGCTCAGATGTTTTAAATTGAGTTTTTTTTTTTTTTTTTTTTCTCACCAAATTTATACCTGCACGGATTTTGCATTTAGTCATTTTTGTTTTGGAATTTCAATACTTAAATTTTTTTCTTTAAAAAAGAGTTTATCTGATGAGTCACTTTCAGTATTCTGAAAGCCGAAAAGACTTAGAAATGAGTACCTATTAAAGACTCGTTTAATTTGATATCATCATAATATAAATGTGAGATTAGTAGAGGTGATGATGGTAAAAGGTAAAATCAAACTAAATGGGTCTTAATGGGTACCCATTAACAACACAATAGGTTGATTTGTTACCTCTAGACATTTCAACCTACCCCTAACCAACATTGTGTGATTCACCAACAGTAGGAATGAACGGAACTCAAGAAGTACAGTTTGAAATGCAAACTTGAAATTTGTCTCCAGCCACTAAACAGCCACTTGGGAAAAACTAAATTGCAAATAATAATCATATTGCAAGGGTTTATCGGTTTTGTGACTAAGGTCTTTCTCTTCAAACCAGTACATTTCGGGCTCAAACCTTTGCTCATCCTCATTGTTTCTTATTCATATACATGATGTGTATTTGGACATCTTTCCTGTACTTAATATTCTTTTATTGGTAGATTTTTCTTTGTAATTGTCCATTTCTTTATGGTTCGCTAAAATTAAAATTTAGATGAAAAATTAACAGTTCTTTACGAAAAAACCAACAAATAGCTCTATATAAAAATATTTTGAAAAATTAGAATTTGATTGCAATTTAAATTGCTAAAAAAGGAAACATAATTAGAAAAACAATAAAAAGTAATTAAAAACGGCGAGTAATTAATTAAGTGGACAAGTCACGCCCACGCTGTGATCACAGAAGCCTCGGTTTCTTCACCATCTTCAACGGCCCAGATTTCATCTCCCTAACTTCTCGCTCTAGAAAAATAAAATTACAAAACCACCCCTCCTCCACACACACATTCATAACACTCGATATCAACGCTCTGGAAATTAACACGTCCATTTCCTCCCTCTCTCTCTCTCTCATCGATCAAAGGATCCATGGCGGAGCCAAAACCAACGCCCACGGCTGAATCGCTGATGGACAAGATCTACAACCACCACTCTTCGTCGTCGTCGGACTCCGACGACGACAAGAAGTCCAAGCACGCTGCTTCCGTCAAAGCCAAGGTGGAAGACGAAAAGCCGTCGGCGCGCGATTCCGTCAAGTCCAAGATTTTCAGGCTCTTCGGCAGGGAAAAGCCCGTTCACAAGGTCTTGGGCGGCGGCAAACGTACTATATTCTTTCCCTGTCTTAATCCGTTTATACATGTTAATATAATTTTTTTTTTTGCATGGATTTGATGGGCTGATCGGAAAATGTGGGAAATTACGAAGAAGATGAAATTCTGAAAGTTGATTTCTTGATCATTTTGTTCGCCTGAATTGCATAGAAAGTGAAAAATTTCTTGAAATTATTGACTTGAAAGTTTGAGAAATGTACATGAATCTTCGTCTGAGCGAGCTGATCGCAGTTTATTCATTCGATTTTGTTCTTCTTATTTATATTGTTGTATGGCGCAACAGAAATGTTTCTCCTTTGTGGCTAAAAGGTCACGTCTTCTGGAAATGGTGTCTTTGCAAACTAAGGGTAAGGGTGCGTACAATAGACTGAGGGAACGTTCCTGACCCACGCAAAGCGTGGAGCCTTGTTGGCTGTGGTTGTGGTTTTGGGAGGATTTGTTTGGCATTTTTTTAATTGTTGATTTAAATAATTATTATTATTTATTGTTTATGTGCTTTCTGATTTGTGTATATGTATAGATTGCCAATTGCAATAAACATACATTGATCGTGTTTCCTTATTTTGTCCGGGTTTCCGTAGCAATATGGACATCTTCAGTTCGAATTTAGAAAGGGAAGTGTTATTGGCGCTCCAAAATCTCATTCTACACTCCTCATCCACAAGTGTATTTTTCTTTCCAAATATAGAAAGTTTAGAGTGTAGAATGAGATTTTTGGAGTGCCAATAACAATTCCTTTTGGAAAATGGCGATTTGTTTTTAATAATGTGCCTTAGAAAAGAGATTTTCTGGCACAGTTTTCCATTTGTGCGTTTATGAACAACGCCCGTGAGAAGAAACTTAGAAAGAAATGGCTGTCAATTGCGATCTAATGTCGGTCTTTCATTGCAGCTGCTGATGTCTTCCTATGGAGGAACAAGAAAATATCTGCAAGTGTGCTTGCCGGTGCCACTGTTTTATGGGTTTTCTTTGAGTTGCTGGAATACCATCTAATCACGCTGGTGTGCCATTTGTTGATACTTTCTCTGGCTGTCTTTTACCTGTGGTCCAATGCATCCAACTTTATCAACAAGTAAGGCGTTGGGGTGTTCTAGCTTTTTGTTTTTTCGCGTTTTTGATCCTTCATGCAATACCGTATGGTCTTGACTTGACTACGTTACTTAATCAGGTCGCAACCACAAATCCCAAAAGTTCAAATTCCAGAGAAGACTGTCCTTGAGCTTGCCTCTGCTCTGAGAATTGAACTCAACAAAGGATTTTATGTTTTGCGGGATATTGCATCCGGGAGAGATTTGAAGGCATTCCTCGGTGTAAGTTGATCATTTCTTTAAGTTATGCTGTATCCTGTATGTGTAGGTTTTATTTGATTAGACTCACTAGGTGTTGCGCTTCTGATATCAGGTTATAGCCGTCTTGTGGATTCTATCGGTGGTTGGGAAATGGTTCAACTTTCTGACCTTATTCTACATACGTAAGGACAGTTTCTTTTGAGTTTCAATTTTGTTCGTGCCTTTCTGAATTCAGACTCGGGAAACTTCATTTCTGTCATTGACATCATCCCGAATTTTGAATTGCAGTTTTTGTGTTGCTGCACACACTGCCCGTGATTTATGAGAAATACGATGACCAGATTGATGCCCTTGGCGAGAAGGCGTGGATCGAAATAAAGAAGCAGTACGCAGTGTTTGATGCCAAGGTTTTGAGTAAAATCCCCAAGGGTCCAGTGAAGGAGAAGAAGAAGGATTAGACACATCATTCCGACGTTAAGCGTTTACCAGGCTTCGCATTTAGTCACCGTTTTTAGTCGAATCGTTTAATTCCATTAGGTTACCGTCTTTCTGTTTTATGTTTTAGTACTCTGGTTGCACACAGCTTAATGAACATATGCGTTTTAGATGGATGCCTGGAATTTTCGCTATTATTATTGTCTGAAAGTTTTTATTCTCTACGTTAGATTTTAAGCCTACTATTGGCACCTAGGCAATATTACGTCTATGTTCGAATTGATTCTTGTGGATGAAGTAATCGACCAAACTAATGAATATAATTTTATGTTTGGCTTATTTTTAGTTACGTCATTCTCTAGGACTCAACCTTAATTTCATTTTGCCCCATCAAACTCGATTTTAATTTTATCTTGTTCTTATGACTCAAAGTCATTATTTTACTTCGTAAAACTTAAAATTCGCTTCATATTATCATAATTCTATTAATTCCATTATGTGGGTTTTTTAATTTCTTCTTTTAAACTTAATATTTTCTTATTGTTTAATGTTAACGCATAACGGAGATTTTTGAGTTTCAGGAAGAAGAGAGCCCACACGTCAAAACGGGACGAATTTTAAAGAGTAAAGTTGTGACTTTTAAGTTACATGGCAAAGTGAAATCCAAATCAAGTTCCAGAGAGCGTATCTAAATATAAAAATGATACTAATTCGTATAAACTATCTAAACTCGAAATAAAGATACTGAGTCGTATAGGTTGTTTACTAAACACAAACCTAATTTTGTATGACAAAAGAAGTTCAGTTATCGTATAAGTTATTTACTAAACACATACGATGGGTAAGTTTTTATCGTATCCACATCCCTAATCAAGCATCTCTACACACTGGTATTCAGGTTTAAATGAAAGGTTTCACTGACTCTTGCTAAAGGGTCTTCTGTAGGCCCATAACCCGGAAAATGGCCCTTCATCTGAATCGCTATCACTGTCCGAAGAAGATACCATTGATATAGAATCATCCAACAGATACTCAACCACCTGAAAAAGATGAAGATATGGGATCGATGTAAGCTCACCGGAAACGGGACGATGGTGTTCACGTTGCCAGGTAACTAATACTGACTACTGTCGCAGCTAGTATTCATTGAACCCTACTTGTATTCAAATAGCTAAAACCGAAAAAACTAGAGCAAAGAGTATGATAGAAAATACCTGATTTGGTGACACGGGCTTAATTTGCTGGTTTTCTGAATTTTGTCCCCTATGTTCATTTGAGCATTTCCTGTTGTCAAGCCAAACAATCGTGTTGCAGTCTCTACAGTATCCCCTACCGGATTTCAATTTCTTCGATGAGCTGCCTGAAATCCAAGCATATTAGGCAATGGTAAGAATTCATGACTTCACACCTGCAATCCAACAGGAAGCGGAACATATACACACACACACGCATGTGTGAGCGTAATTGAAACTCTAGTTTCTAGGGAAGCACGAAAATACCTAAATATGCCCTTTTGAAGGCTTCTTTCCAAAATAGTGTGTACCCTTCTTCATCTTCAACCTGTCGACCACTAATTTTCCTAGCCTTAATCAGCTTATCATCCTCAGAATTCCCGAAGAAAGTAGTGTATTGTGTCTCCCACAGATGGTTATCACTTGCCGCTATGTTCCACGACCTTCATCAAAACAATCAAGAAGCATTAGACCCAATTGGTGATTAAAAATGCAGTTTAAATCAAGGAAACCAAATACGTGAACTTAAGTGAAGGAAATTGGGATTACCAGCAGACTAGTCCAACAGAGGCCAAGGATTGCATATCAAGGAAACCAAATATGTGAACAAGAACATCTTGTGGCAGCTGGGTTGAACCCGAAACTATGTGGATAGGAGGCGAAACAGTTAACAAGGACTACCTTCTTCGATTAACATATCAAAGCATGCAATTTCATGATCTCCAACTGATAAACTTCGAAAAATATTAAGATATGAGCAAACACAAAGTAAAATCTCGATACCCTTTTCTTCTTGGCGTGCTTTACTGCGCCTCTTATGAGCAACCATTGCGTTCTTGTATTCTGCGACAGCCAGATTCTTCTTTTGCTTCGGCAACGTGGCCTCGGCACTCTGGAGGAGGAGATGGGCTGCCAAAACAGCATTGCGCGTCTGCATTCTAGCTTCCCAGAAAAGCAAACAACTTAACACAATGCAACCAGAAAGCGAAAACACGAAATAAATTCTAAAATTAACAAAATTTCAGCTCAATCCAAATTACCCTCATCAACAATTTGCATTAGATCAGAAGAACAACAAACAAAATCTCAAACTTTCAGTCCAAATTGTTATGAAGTTTCAATTTTGAATACACTTATCTCAGAATTCGAAAAACAGAGACAACCCAGACGCCAAAATCCTCTATCTTTCACAAATATCACAAGAAGAACAAACAGAAGTTACGAATTTTGAGAAATGATAAGGAAAATAGCTTACTCGGGAAGGAGACGAAAGGCCGTGAGAGTGTCTTGGAAGATGAGAGATTGGAGATTCTTGGGGAATTTCTTGTAAGCGCCTCTGAGGATTAAGCTGAGCTCTCTGCAGGCAAAAGGGTACCTGTGGATTTTGGGCAATGACTCTTTGAGGACGAGTTTTTGGTATCTCTCCAGTGGCTTTGACATGCTTCTCCCTCTGAGATTCAATGGAGAAAAAAGCAAAAAGGAGAAAGAGAAGAGGGGAAAGAGTTCCTTCGGATATTAGTATATTACAATTACTCTGATGGGCTAGTTTTGTCAACCAATAATATGATGGGCTCTAATTATTTGATTGGGCTACGTAAGAAGGACCAACAAGTTTCCATACAACTTTCATTTAAATTTTTTGTGATGGTTAGGAGAGCAACGTGTATGACACACTTCATTATAGTAGCATTATGTGGCAATGATACAAAAACACATAGAGAGTTAATATGTCTTTGTACTATTAGCATGAAATGCTATTATAGAGTTGTTCCTGTGTCATACAAGTCATTCTCGACAAAGAAGGAGACTTTCCAAAACACTACAAACTCATAAACATGCCGATTCATCCACTACCAAAGCTGAAGACGACCCACCACGTGAAACTCCTCATGGTCCTATTTCGTTCAAGATCAAGTGTTCATCGCCTTTGAATTGAATTCTACTTTGGAGATCAAATTAGAGAATATTCTTCTAAAAGAATAAACCACAGAGATTGTAACCCTAAACATTCATCTAATGCAAATATTATTTGTACATGTGTTCTTCTGTTATTCATTGCAGAAAATTTTGTGTTGACACTTTTATAGATGAAGATAATGTAACTTGGATGCTAAAGTAATGGCGTCCTAAACTAATCACACAATGCGGAGTAAGAAAGTTTAAAACATGAAGAGGCTCTCACCTTGGAATTCATGTTCTTGTTCTTAATTTTGATATTTAAATTCTGGATGGAACTGTCAGGCGTAGGTGCTACTTTCGTTTTTAATAAGACATCAAATTTGGTTATAGACTTGCAATTTCACAGAATGATAATTTCATTTCATATATGTATATATATAATGAAAAAATAAAGCAAACTCTACATGCATAAAGAGCATTGCACTATCAAATAATTACACAATTTAAGAACAATGTGCACAAATGCTGTTTAAATTCAGTCCAAGTTTCCTCTCACCAATCTGAAAATCCCACAAGCATCTCCCAACACCACACACATTTTTCACAGAACATAGACTCAAAAATCCCAAATAACTGTGGCTACTGGATACCGTTAACCCACCCTCTCTTACATTTTGTACACTGATATACACGTCCCTTGTGCTGCAAGTTTTTTCCTTCGCCGGAGGTTCAGAGCTGTAGCCGCTTCTAATTGATCGTCGCGTAGTTGCAAGCCATCGAACACTGTTGCCTTTTCAGGTGGAGTTTCCATCTTCCTCGAAACCTTCACATTCTTCCCAAAGAATGAAGCTGATGACTGGTGCCTAAGATGCCGGCTTCCCCGTGTGTACTAATATTTTACAGGAAGTAAGTTAGCTGTTGCTTCTTCCTCGAGCCACCCTCGCCAAACAGTTCATTCCACTGTTTCAGCTCGCTCATTACTGATCCCTCTGAAGCGAAACTCGCAGCAACCTGCATCGAACCACAGACATGCATAAAGATACATGCAGAACAAACGAAAAATGATAGTTTTGTGAATAGTGTACGAAAAGAAAGTGAAATTTGTTACCTGATTCTTTGCCTGCCTCATATCTTCCATGTTTAAGGCCCTCAGGGTAATTACGTGCTCCTCTTTCTCTTCTTCTTTCGGTTCTGAAGCTTCTTCTGTGCCCTTTCCTTTTGCATCTTTCTTCTTCTTTTCCTGTAGTTCCGAGTTTTATCAAAGTCGTTAAGCATTACCAGAATTGGGAAGAAAAACAATAAGAATATGCCGATGCAGAGGAAGAGTGTGAAGGTAGCGAATTACCACATCCTTTTGCCTCTCCTGTTGTATAAGCTCCCTAACTGGTCGATAAGCTGCTGTCACGCACAAGTTCTGTTTTTCCAGGATTTAGTTTTGTGAGTTCGTTATACTGATCACAATTTAAGGTTGGTTATTAATATTGTTAACTCGAAATCTAACCTTAAGATCGCTTCCGCTGTATCCTTCTGTCATGGTTGCAAGCTCCTTAAAGTCAAGATTTTCGACCTTTTCTTTCGAAAGAAGAGTTTTCAAGATCATTTCCCTGTTCTCGACTGAGGGAAGGCCAACCATGACTCTGTTCAATAGAGACAAAGATTTCGAATTAGCAGACAGTTAAAAAGAAGGAAGAAAAAAATCTGAATGTAACACAATGTGGATCATTACCTCCGCTCAAATCGCCTGATGATTGCCTCATCAAGGTCAAATGGCCTGTTGGTTGCGGCGAGAACAAGAATTCTCTCCCCGGTCTTTGTCAAAAGTCCATCCCAGTGTGTCATGAACTCGTTCTTAATCTTCCTCATGGCCTCATGCTCCCCAACTCTGGTTCGCTGCCCCAGCATGCTGTCAACCTCATCCACGAAGATAATAGTCGGGGAGACCTTTGCTGCAAGTGTGAAGAGAGCTCGAACGTTCTTCTCATCTTCTCCAAACCATTTTGAGGTGATCGTGGACATTGAGACGTTGATGAAACTTGCTCCTGCTTCACTTGCTATGGCCTTTGCCAGCATTGTTTTTCCAGTGCCAGGAGGACCGAAAAGCAATATGCCTCTGCAAGGCTTCAGTAGCCCACCTTTGAAAAGGTCTGGTCTTCGAAGCGGGAGCATGACCAACTCCTGAAGTGATTCTTTGATATCATCCAATGCACCAATATCTGCAAATGTGACTCCAATCTCATTTGCAGGGATAACCTCCGGCCTTATGCGCTTCTCAAATTCATTGTCAGGTGCCACTTCCTGCACAAACACCATGAATTTTTTATATGACAACGGAGATTTGAAAAAAAATAGACATTGGGAACCATGTGGATTTTGTGGATAGTATTATAGGACTTGAACTTACTACTTTTGGCGGAGGTGGATTGTCGCTGTCCTTCTTCACCCCGGGACCAGACTTCTCAGCTTCACCTTTGTTTTCCGGTGCTGCAGTTTCAGATGTCGATTCAGTCTTTGCACCGACAGCCTCTTCCCCTTCAGTTTCCTAAAATTTAAGAGAAATGGTAAACCATTAAGTCATCAGAAGTTAACAGCAGGTCCATTTAATCCGCGACTCAAAATGTAAAACATCAAGAGGTTAGAAATGAAAGTAGAAGAAAAACCTTGTTGGAATCGGCATTGGTCTCCAGTTTCAGAGAATCTTTCCCGCCAGATTTTCCCTCCTGGAATATACTCAATCCCTGGGACAAACTGTTCCAGATTGAGAGTCGTAATTAGATAGATAAAATCATAAAACAGTCTGTTTTGCAGTGAAATATAACCAAAGAAATTATGATAGTGAGAATTTGGTATCTACCTCGTCGATGATATAACAAGCTTTCCATTTCGATATTCTGGATCCTTGTTTTGCATCAAATGATAAGATATCGCTGAAATCACAATCTCTTCTATGTAGTTGCTGACTACCATTGTGTCTGCATGGCAGATTGAACCAAGATCATCACATTCAAGATCATTTGCCGCAAGCACCTCGGCTATGTGATTTTTGTTGTCATGAAATTGGATCATCTTCATGTCTTCTTCCAGTTGAGCTTTCCAGCTGACAAGATGAGTCTCATCTTCCGGGGGACTGATCTCAATATTGTAGGGGAACAAAGCAGCAAGCTTCTCGTCGACTTCTTTGCAATCATCTTCAGTGTCTACCGTTCTGGAACCAAGTATCAACACTGACCCTGAAAGTCTCTTCAACATTTTGTTGAACAAATTGTAAAACCGCCGTGATTGGAGAAAAAGCTTCTCGACGTCCCTGAGGCATAAGATGATGGAACCAGTTTCTGACATTGAAGATAAGACCTGTACAAGAAATAATATGAATGCCTATTAGTACTTTACTAACATTTTCAAGCAATCTTACCTTGTATCTAACCAAAAGAAAAGACATTACCTTGTAAAGGGACTGCAAAAAAAGTTTCTCATCGAAACACCAGTTGTTCACGCGTTTGAGAGGAGCTGAAAAAACCAAAGAATGTAAGAGTGATAGTATAAATTTAAAGCAATTCCGCGCATAACTAATGCACAAATTACGTTCTTAAAAAGCCAGTATTTTTCTGTAGGAACAAACCTGAACTTGGCGAAGCAGATTTGGAACTGATGCTACTCATATCAGATGCAGAAGAGGCATTTCTTTGAAGCGTTCGAGTTGGCCCTTCTGTGCCCCTGCGGGTATAAGATAGCAGTGTTTTAGAAACGAGACATTTCATAAACACCGGCACATTTGATACAAGAATCAATCCCCCAATACTGTACCTTGATTTGAAATCAGAAGAACTACTTTGCCGACATAGTGCACCTGTAAGAAAACAATTAGTTATAATACCAGTGAAGCGTGGACATTACCAATAGTCACTGAACTGAGGACATGTTGATCAGAGGAGCTTTAACGAAAAGATATAGCCATATTTCCTTTCGTACCTTTAGTGTCCCTGCTTGAAGGGAGCATTGAGAAGGAACCGAGCAAATTGGACATTTGCTCCAATGTCACCTCTGAGATGAACCTTTTATGATGCTACAAAAAGAATGCAATGAATCAGGAAAGAAACAAAAAAATCCAATCGAGCAAATTCGAACTTTTCCTTTCAATAAAATTGCAGTACATTGACAAAGATACATGAAGTGCAGAAATGCATAACATTGAGTTTAAACAAAAAAGCATCCCACCACATTTGGATCCAGGTTTCATCACTTGCTAAACTTAAGATGTACGCTAAGACTCCGGAAAAGAAAAAACACGATTAGTTCCTCAGTAAGAAGCAGAGAACGCTTACTGATTCTCTTTTGGCACAGCCGTATTTACTCTGTATCTGCAAACATGTAGAATTCAGATTTTTAGTACTACCGTATTACGAGCCAAATCTAACTTATGTAAACATGTAAAGGTGACTGATATAGTACTGCTGTATTACAAATATTTACCATGATCGAAAAATCAGTTATATCCAACAACAGCAACTTCGACTCAAAGTGATGCGCTAAAGCCTTGGCGAGCATTTGATGATAAAGTTCTTTGGGAAACAAGAGATGAATTGGATTAGCTTAAGGAAAAGGTTAA